CCATGTTGACCAGGATGGTCTCGATCTCTTGACCTCGTGATCCACCCGCCTCGGCCTCCCAAAGTGCTGGGATTACAGGCTTGAGCCACTGCGCCCGGCCAATCTCTGGACTTTCTCCCGAGCAAGAGGAACTGCAGGAGTGGAGTGGCAGAAGACACACTCTGCACATACAACTCACAGAAGGAATGAGTTTGGGCAAAAATTAAGGTTTTTGTTTTTTTTCTTTTTTGAGACTGGGTCTCATTCTGTCACTCCATGGCTGGTGTGCAGGAGTACAATCATAGTTCACTGTACCCTCAAATTCCTGGGTTTAGGTGATCCTCTCACCTCAGTCTCCCAGGTAGCTAGGACTACAGGTGTGCACCACCATGCCCGGATAATTTTTAATTTTTTTTTTTTTTTTAGGCAGTTTTGCTCTTGTTGCCCAGGCTGGAGTACAATGGTGTGATCCTGGCTCACCACAACCTCTGCCTCCTGGGTTCAAGTGATTCTCCTGCCTCAGCCTCTGGAGTAGCTGAGATTACAGGAACATGCCACCATGCCCAGCTAATTTTGTATTTTTAGTAGAGACAGCGTTTCTCCATGTTGGTCAGGCTGGTCTTGAACTCCCGACCTCAGGTGATCTGCCCACAGGCATGAGCCACTGCACACGGCCATTTTTTTTTTTTTTTTTTTTTTTGAGACGGGCTGTGGCTATGTTACCCAGGCTGGTCTCAAATTCCTGGCCTCAGGCAATCCTCTTGCCTTGGCAAAGTGCTGGGATTACACGTGTGAGCCACTGTGCTTGGCCTCACTTTTAATTTTCTTTTAAATTTCACTTTTAATTTTCTCTTAAAGATGGCGTCTTGTTATGGTGCCCAGGCTGATCTTGAACACCTGGCCTCAAGAAAACCTCCCATCTGGGCCTCCCAAAGTGCTGAGATTACAGGGGTAATTAACCAAACCTGGCTAAGAATTAAGATTCTATGCTTGAACCCTGGAGGCGGAGGTTGCAGTGAGTCAAGATGATGCCACTGTACTCCAACCTGGACAACAGAGCAAGACTCTGTCTCAAAAAATAAATTTAAAAGAGCTTAGAATCTATTATACATGAACATGAAAAGCTGGAAAGGCTGAGATAGTCAAGCACCTTGGCAGTTGGATAAGGAGATCTGAGCTTGGAGAAGTCTGGGCTATAGATGTAGCTTTTATCCAAGTGTGGTTTCTTACTAACAACAAAAAAATATAAAAAATGTAAAAATAGAAAAAGAATAGCTTTGGGAGTTGTCACCTTCAGTTTGCACTTTTGAGTCTATCAGGCCTCAGGGGTAAAACAGGTTTCAGAATTGAGGACACTTCTCATTGTCCCGCCCAGAGGTGCCCCTCAGCATGGCATTAGGTACTGTGGCCCCAGGGTACCCTTTCCACCACTCTTCTAGGACTGACAGCCCTACTACCTGTGCCGCCCAGGGGAGCCTCTCAGAAAGGCATGGATAACTATCTCTGGCCCCAGGGCGCCCTTCCCACCAACGTCCCCAGACCCTGAGCAGTCGCCTCGGGTCGCGGCGCCCCCTGGTGGCATGCGGCGGGAACTACATCAAGGTGGGTACGCACCAAGGTCCGGCCCCTGAACAGGCGCACAGGCTGGCTCGGGTCCCCGGTGCTGAATGCAAATGTGCAGAGCGCGTAGGCTGACTTGTCCTCGAACCCAGCCAGGAGCTGGTGGAGACCTGTGGGTGGGTACAGTAAGAGCTCAGTGCATCTTTGCTGGCCAGCTCCCACCCCTACTCCCCAGAAGCCCACTCCCCCAAGGGTGGGGAGGGAGGAACTCCCTAAACGGGGAAATTAGGTCTCAATTGGGGTAGTAACAGGGGCGGTAGACCCACGGCAGTGGGACTAGGCTTGAGATGGAGGTCTCTGGGCATCCTCGCTTCCCTCTGGCACAGGCTGACACAAGGCTTTGTTTAAAGTCAGAAAACTGGCCAATGCAGAATTTTTTTTTTTTTTT